TTATCAGTCACATTTGTGTTCATGGAAAAGAAATCTCCCCAATCACGAGAGATAGCCAACAAATAAATGGTGCTGTGCCCTGATGTGCCCTTTTCATTTCCCAAGAACAATACACTTATGCTGGAGAGCATTTGTTAATATACAAAGTTACAAATAGTAGGAAATAAGTAATTACGGTTTGTATGAGTATACACAAAGAAGCCAATGAAGTACTTCAGCTGCATTCTGGATCAGCCACAAGACCTGGCCAGGAAATCACAGGACACTAATACTTTTGGGTCTAGGTCTATGCTTCAAGATCTCTGCAAGATGGCACAGGGTGTAGTTCTCTGAGGAAATAAAGGCACTGTTTCTAGTGGAGGAGGCTTGGCAACAGCTACCACCAGAAGGCACCCCATCACATCATCTTTTGTACTCCCCCGGAAAGTCTATAAATAGGGGGAGCTTCTGCTCGGACTGTTATTAGAGTAGGACTCTCAATAGGGTGCCCTGTTTCGCACCTGTTACCATTCAGGTTTCTCTCTTATTCCATGCTTTGTCTAAAAACTAAAGAAAAAACAACTCCTTTGCCTACCGCTTGTGCCTAACCATCTTAAATACCCTCTGAAACCAGCTCTTTCATTAAAATATGGTACTATGTTCTGCTAAATGAAACTTTAATTCTCTTTAAACATATTTTGTCAGTATTGTACAAAGTTAAAGATACAATAAGTAACTTTGGAAATGTGTGTATTTTCTTGTGATTGTGTGCCCATGTATATACAGTATATTTATGCTTAGATTTGGGGTTTTTTGTGCTTTATTTGTATGGAAAAAACCGTTGGCTGCAAGAAAGACAATAACCCATGATAGCTCATTCTCTGAATTGCAAATACTGGCAGCTGTTTATTTTGGCATGCTTTTCATGGGCAATGCCAAACTGGTCTGCCTCCAGATTAGAGTGATAGAGTATAAATTGAAATGATCTCACCCATAACATATATTTCAGAAAATCTGAGAATTCAAATTTTAATACATTTTTTTTCTTTCGTGTTTTGTGTCCCTCCCATCCATGGAAACCAAAACTGAACTGAAGGGTCTATATAACAATTTTTATTTTAATTCAGGATGTGCATTACATTAAGCCATGCGCTAGACATTTTTTCCATGATTATGTTTATGCTCGCTCAATACAATGTTTAAGAGAGGGTGATTTATTCATGGATAATTAAAATATATATTTTATTATCCAGAATTTAGACTCAAACTTGATTTAAGTATTAAAGTATTATAAATAATATTATAAGGAACTGCAGTATGCAACTAGTGTTTCATACACTGGAACCATTTGACAATAATATTTCTATTAAAATAACCTTCACAAAAGTAAGGTTTTCTGTTGCAACTTAAAACAATATATACTGTATGTGTAAGCATGTGAACATGTAGTTCATACTTCTCAATAATTTCTATTTTTATTTTAATAACCATGTGAATAACTTGACATTGGGGTTCTGGTGAAATACTCCCTAAAAATCTAAGCATATAATTTAAATTAAACACAAATAACATTTGGCAGAATCTGTCAAGAACAAGAGTTGGCTGTCCACAAAAAGGGAGACCATGTTTTCAATTTTTATTCAAAGAAGGTGTCCTCCCATTTTATTCCTTAGAGATTTGTGATATCTCTTTTTTAATCTTGGTTTTAATTACAGTTCTTATAAATGTTAGGAAGGTAGATTCAATTAAGGGTATTACATTAGACACTTTTTCAGCAAGTTTGTCTTTGCCATTTTTAGTGTCACTTCCTTAGGTTATTTGAAATAACATTTAATATCATATTATAGATATTCTGGACTGAAGTTGAACTTGAACTTGAACTTGAACTTTATTGCTATATGTAACCGGTACTGGTACAATGGAATTCTTACTTACAGAAAGCCTCTCGATTGTAAAACAAGTGTAAAAAACAAGACAAAGTGTAAACAGTGCATCAAGACAATGTACAAACAAACAATAGACAATGTGCAAGTAAACATGTAGACAGTTTGAATATAAACAATACAGACGTGTAAACAATGACTGGAGATGTGCAATAGATAAGAAATCATAAAGAGGTAGATGGTGAGAGTGTAGGTGTGGTCCGAGGGGGATGGCTAAATGTGTTCGCCAGTCTCACTGCTTGTGGATAGAAGCTATTGAAGAATCTAGTGGTAAGTGTCCGTATGCTCTTATATCTCTTGCCTGAGGGCAGTGGGGTGAAGAGCTCATGCCCGGGGTGGTGACTGTCGTCTGTGATGGCCAGAATTCTACCACGGCAGCGGTCCTCATAGAGCTGTTTAATCTCGGTGAGACCGGAGCCGATGATCTTTTGGGCCATATTGACCATTCTCTGCAGTGCCTTTCTTTCTCGCCATACCACACGGTTGCCATACCACACGGTGATCCCATTGGTGAGGACGCTCTCGATGGTGCAGCGGTAGAAGTTCACCAACACATGTATTGGCATCCCCCATCGCTTGAGGCACCTCAAGAAATAAAGGCGCAGCTGAGCCTTCTTCATGTTAAGTATTCAGTTCAGGAAAGAACCTGAATTTTGTTAATGTAGCCACATATTAAATAAAAAATGATGAGCATAAAATGAAACTTGTCACTTATAACAAATTGACATATTTAACAGGAAAATTAGTCTTTTTGTAGAATGTGCATTGATATTTAATTGAATAGACATGACATAGGTAAATTCATCGTGCTTATTAAAATTTGTCATCACAATAGTTGAATGACAAGAGATCTATTGGGTCTAGTTTGAAAATCACAGCAGTAGTATGTGTGACCACTGCTGGAAGCTATACAAGCTGTACTTCTGTTACGTACTGTACACTCTAGGTTGCAGATGGTCGTGTGGGTGGGACTCTGTCCCATTCCTCTTGTACAGGCTGAACAAGCAGATACCTCACTGGTCTCTAAAACCACATCTTGTCCTAGCTCATTCCAAAAAAGCTGAACAGGACTCATGTCTGATTAGAAGAATGTTCATGGTAAAATGATCACATTTTCATTTCACACATAACCTATTGTTACATAAGCATAATGTCATCACTTCAGGTTAAGCCCACAGGAAGGGCAGCAAGAGGGGTCTCAGGACTTGGTGAATGCCACCATTATGGCCAGATTGCCACAAATCACTGCAAGTGGAGTTCTGCAGCAACAATAAACTCCTGCCCAGACCATCATACATCGATTTCTCCACTGATTTGTCTCTTGTAAATGATCATTCTGCACATCTGTGCCAATATTCACCAGGGTTTTGAACAAAAATTATTTATTTACTCCTGAAGAGGCTCTGGCTCCGCTGTGGTAAGCCTCTAATGTACTAATGGCCAGAAGGCATTTTTCTTTTGATAAGCGGGACATATTTGGTTCTTTCTGTGATTTTCTTTCTTTTCACCAGGAGAGAACATCAAAAAGGTTAAGTGATCTTACCAGCTTGGCCCAGTCAACACATTCACTAATGAGGTGATTTAATGTTTCAAGTAAGTCATTTAGGTGTATTGCAGTCAGTCATAAATCAATTGATCAAAAAACCCACCAAAAACATTGAATCATTATTCCAGATACTTTTGTCTTCTAAGAACAGATACCTGTATGTGAAGTGACTCTTCTGATGCTCATTGTAGTTTATAAATCTGCAATTAATTTTACGAATCTGGATAAACATCAGATTAGTTGGTTTTGTCTATATTTGTTCCAATTTACAAAAAAGAACAAACTACAGTGAACTATTTTCATTTCTTTCGCACTAGATAGGTTAAATGTCATTGGATTTACTTTTTTGTAGTCATTGGAGCTTGAGGAAAAATTTGTCATTTGCCCTTTCAATTTCAAATCAAGTTAATGCTCTTATCACAGCACTTTATTCTAAAGGGTTCCAGAGTTCAAAACACTACAACTATGTATAGTTTAAAACAATGCAGCTATATATTACTCTTGAAAATCTCTTCCAATTAGTACCTAAAAAAACTAACTCTTTAGCAGATGCATTAACAAGCTATTTTCCATTGTATGGTGATTTTCAATTTAAAATGTTATTAAAAATCAACCAAATCAAATCTTTGTTTTTTGTGAGTGCTTTCGGAAAATAAATTAATGGATCTACAACTAAACATTTCTTAACACATCAGTCTAACCTTACTTTGCTCTATACCCTTGATATAGAAAATGCATATTCAGTATTGACAGATGCTGAGTGAAGAAATAATTAATAATACATGACCATTGGTTGAAACCGAGAAATGCAAACAAATAATAGGTGTCAGGAACTTCTTTTGCGTGGAAATAATATGTTCCAGGTTCTAGGAAAAAGTAATATCAATGACAGCAGACAAAAGGTGTCCAAAGGCACTGCTGTTGCTTGTTGTTTTCTGGTGTGAACAGATAGCCAAGATCCTGGCTTCAATTTAGTTGTACACATGATTTTCCTACTCTTTTGTGGATTTTCTACAATAAACAAATAATAAAATTGGGACAAGCAATATTTGACAAGACATGTAAATATATATTCAGAATTTCAATGTATCATAGTATATTAACTGTCACATGATACAACAGGTGCATAGTTGATGTAAGGTTGGCATACATCAGAGCATATGAGCATTTTTTATCCATATTCAGAAATGATCTAGTAGCACAAAGCATACTAAGTGCTATACATTAGACTACACAAAAGTATTCTGTTACAATAAAAACAAAGATGTTTTGATATTTTGTTTTCTTAAAAAAATGGTCTAGACTAAGTAATTGCTGAATTGATGCACAGGACAAACAAGAAGCCTTACTAGCACTCTACAATTGCCCTCCTTGTTTTTAAAGTACTTTTAAAAATTAAGGGCTTTTATTTACCCTTTATTTATGTAGACTTAAATGGTTTTTACTCAGGACATCAGATGGTTTTTAAACAAAAGTGTAAACAAAGCATAATGTTTATAAAGAAAAGTAATCTACACTTTTTGTCATTAAAATAGATTTCAACAGAACCAAGCTAGGAGCTTGCATATTTATTGAAATACTACTAAAATAGCCAAAAATTACACATAGTACCTGTAGTGCATTATTAAAGATCACATTATTACAAAAGCTGGCATTAACAGCCATACACAGTTTCAGATATATCTCCACATACAAATGCTGTATTTGTCTAATACAGTCACTGGCTATATACAAAACAGCTGGCATTCCTAATCTAACAGAAAAAAAGACAATTGCAGAGAAAATAAAGAAAAGTGCATGCATCAGTTGTTAACTATCAGAAACTGGGACAGAATAGAATAAGCTGGGAAGATTTGCACCTTTAAGGAAGAACAAACAAGAGTAGAGTAACTAAGGTGGGCTTTCACTCTGTCACCATATTAGAACTGCAGACAGTATGAATTAAGTGGAAGCAAAGACAAAACTGCAAATACTTTGACATTTTTTAGTAGCAAAAGTTTAAGCTTTTTGGTATTTTGTCCAAGACTTGTCTGGATGTTCCTTAACTGTTTTCACCCTAAAAGTACAAAATAATTCAAGTATATTGGCATAGTTAGGAATTTAAAAAGAGGCTAGTGAAAGGATTGTCCCATCATTCAAGCTACATACAGTATATACTGTATGCCTTGTCTGGAAAATGCATTTTGCTCAGAGTTTTCTGGCTCTCAAGTTTCACATGTCGAGAAGACCAGGATTCATTTAAGGATCACAGATATGAAACTGATGCTGGAGCAGGTGTAGGCAAATTGCATACCATGAAGCCCACCTCCTTCCCGGACCAAACAGAATCACATACAAACCCATAGCCTTTTTCTTGCTAAAATTTTCACAGATACTATGAAAAGGCCAATAAATGCTGCCAGGGGCAAAATAAAAAGCTGTAAAATATGCCTTAAAATCAGCAGTTGACTCACGTCTTTTAAAAGTATCATTAAAATAGATGTATCTTGATAACTCTGTAGTTAAAAGGATAGCTTTGAACAGGAAATGCATTATTTAAGTTTATTAAAAAAATGAAAATAAATTCATTTGGTGAAAGCCAATTTTACAGTATGGTAAAATGATTAACAATCTCCAAATGTGCTAGGGACATTGTATGTATCCATTTAATTGCACACATTTTTTTAAAGGTAAAATAATTTTAAAAATTGCAGTTTTGTGATTGCTCCCTCTGCACTGACTTCAAGCATAATCTTCCAAGAAAACTCTGTCCAATATAAATCATACTTTATTTTTCATTTTAATCTTTGTCCTGTACTGAATGAGAAAGCCACACAGAAAACGACAGAAAAACAAGTCAATCCAGACCAAGTTACAACAACCAAACAACAAAGAACCAACACCATCTCAGAACATGAAAAAATTAACCCATCAGAGCTACCTTACCAAGGAGCAGATTAAAAGTCCAAAATAGCACCATTCATCAGTGTCTCAAATCCGTGGCAGCATCTCAATCACTTACCACAAGGAAACAATGCATTTCTACAGCTAATTCTATACATCAAAATGTACATGGCTAACATATGGATTTAAACTGGCAAAGGTAAACAAAAACAATAAAAACAAAACTAACAAGCTTATACAGACTAAATGGAGAATGGGGACTCTCAGCCTCAGTAAATTCCTGTCAAGAATGCAAATATAGAGTTAAATACCGAGCTGTTAAAATGTGTATAGTGGCCAAGTGGAAGACATGCTGCTGCAACGATACAGGGCACGAGGCCCACCTGTAGTGTTTGTAAACATGGACTCACAGTATAGGTATTGTTGTAGCTCAAGTCTGGCAGGTCTGTCTTGATTTGTTTTGTGTCATTTGATGTCTTGAAAAATACAACATCAGTAAGGCTTAGAGTCCCAAAAACACCTAAACATTATTTAAAGAAAATATCCCATAGTTGTTATGATCTCATCTATACCCACACACCGAATTAATACAAATGGAAGATACATGATTCTGGAAAAAGAGGAGGTAATATATAAGTATATATATATATGTATGTTGTTTTTTGTGGTGGTGGTTTTTTTTTCAGTACAGCAAATGCATTCATTCTACGCCGGGAGATAGGAATGATGTTTTTGTGGCACTGCATCCCTTTGGCCTGAACTGGGAGGGGAGCCTGGAGTCATCCCTTCAAAAAAAAAACATAAGCAGAGAAAAGTTAACATCAATGTATAATTTTAAACAAAACCTTTTTTTGACAACATACTGTAGGTACTTGGATTTAGGCAAGTATTCTTATTTGGAACAGAATTAGCAAGTGAAATGCAGATCTTTTTTAAAAAAAAACACTGTTACATAAAGGCAATTAAAAACATAACAGTTCCTTAGATACCATACCTAAGTTAGTGTTGATAATGAATAAAAAGTAACATGTACAAGTACAATTTGTATTAAGTTTTTTCTGAATATCCAAAAAGAAAAAAATCATTCTCGACTGCAATAGTAGATAAACCTCTGGAGACATGATCCTAGTCTTGTAACATAAAGAAGACTTGCATAATTGTGAAAGTAAGGAGAAAAGGCCACAAATATTCTTACTAAATTGTCTATCTGGTGATTGTAATAAGGAAAGCTTAAAACCATTCTAACCTAGTCTTCCACACATGCTTTCAAAGAAAAAGGCATAAAAAAATACAATTATTTCTGAGGTACAGTGATACAATGCATGTCTTTTTCAATTTAATACCAACGTTTTTTTGCCTGTCAAGCAAAGACAAAGCTTTATCCACAGCTTTAATAAATCATATTATGTTCTACAAGAACAAGGTATGAAGCATAAAATGTACAGAGAAAACCTCCAAAGAAACCAAAGTGCCTTCGGTGATTAGCACTATTCTTAGATTTGACCCCCAAAAATATGAAATAGAAATTCAAAATTAGTGCAGATAAGGAAGCTTCAAAGTAGTATGATCTTTCTTTTGAATTATTTTTCTATAAAATATTTCAGAAATGCTTTTTACCTTATTTACAGCTGTATTAAGGTAACTGTTTGGAGAGTAATATGCTTTTATTAAAAGCTAAAAAAAACTGTTCTCAAATAATGCATTCCAACAGCAGTGTAATACATTAAAGCCTAAAATGGGTTTTCTACGATCAACATTAATAAGAATCTCTTATGAGAAATACTTTTCTTAGTATTTTAGGTTTTCACAAGAGTTAATTTAGTTCAATTCTATCCTACTGCTCAAATGACCAAACTGATAATGCGGGCCCCCTTTATTTTGAAGGAATAAACGCTTTTTAGACAACAGGATGATAGAAGTCTTGTTGGTCAGATGGTTGCTGTTGGGTAATTAAGTACAAAGAGAAACATTCAAGTCAGTCTCCAGATTAAAACCCAAGTAGGCCTGCATTTTATACGCTGAAGATACAGAAGAGATGAAGAGACAGAAATCTCAGCACCACAAGAAAAGGCAACACATTTAAAGTGGCTGCAGCAAAAGCTTTGGCCTGTGCTTCTCACATTATTACACAGGGTTTGAAAAGCTCCATGGGTTGCAGATTTAATGTCATTATTGCCTCAGAGGACCATGCAATGAAATACTGACTTTTACACTCGAAAATGTACTTATAAAGAATACTTATGTTCACTTGAAATAGCCGCATTAAGCACAAAGTATATCTGTATTCTAGTATGACGAAATGTTTGGATGGAATTACACAAAAACTATACAAATATAATAAACATAACATTCTTTTTAATCTCATTTGATCCCAAATACAAATTGCCTGACTATATAAAAAAAACTATTTTGACGATTTTGGAGTTCACTGAAAGTTCTGAAATGTTATCCAATTATGCTTAAAATGTCAGGAAAGAACAAACAATAGCCCTGACCCATTTAGAAGTTTTCAGAAAGAAATAACTAAAGTTGTAAAATACAGATTAGAATTATCTGCTGTATCTTTAAAACAACAGCAAAAAAATCTCTCAACACTCACAAAACTAAAAGTTAAACTTCAAGGAGCTGTTAAGTATCCTATGACCATCAACCAAGAAAGAAACAACAAAGAGCACATTAAGTTCTCCTCCAGCTTCATAAAGATCCCTGTCACTAGCAAGACAACTTTCTTGTCTGAAACTAATTTGTGATGAATGCCTGATTGCAAGATGTTTGGAAGATTTAGAAATGTCCTGGGCCAAACTCTAAGCAGTATTATATCATGAAGCTGCATCCAGCTGCAAAAAAGATTTCCCTCTTGAATTACTGTTTTGTCTTTGTAACCAAAAGATAACAAGCCATGTGATTATAAGTTTTCCTCTCACAAAGGAAGTTCATATCACAGAGTATGTTACACTGTTAGCATGAGGATAAACTGCTTCTAATCTACAACCCACTTCTTAGTTAAAACCCTTTTCAGGTAAAGAGAAACAAGCTTTCTACAGTACAGCTTATACTGTAAGTGACTCTAGCCAACTAAGACTTACCAGACTTTGGCGCTTTGTGGGAAATTTGGACAACAGCCACAGTTAATCCATGTGTTTCATAGGTAATATCTCCCCGCCAAAGAACCTGATACTATGAAATTTTATATTTTATTATAACCTACACGGAAAAAAAGTAGCAACAAATTGTTTTACTTATTGAAGAAACTAAAGATACAAAATTATTCCAAAATTGAGGACCACTTCCATATAAATGTTCAGAATTTGACACCTGTAGTAACAAATTGTTATCTTACTTTAAGTTTTAATCTCCTAACCAATTGGCGACATTAACCTATGGAATAAAACTGAAAGGGTGTGACTTGGAGGCACTGGGAAATAGAGGGGTCAAAACCAAGTTACTGTCTTAACTTTATATTGAAAGTATTAAGGGCCTAAAAAAGAAACCCATCACTGTATTATTTTTTGTAGACAGGTTTTGAAGTAACAATTTGTCTTTCCAGCTCCAGAGTTTTTTGTTTATTTTGTTGTCAAATATTTAAAAACTTACCTTAAAACACAGGTGATATACTTAAACAAACAATTCAAATAAGAAGCCGGTATTCAAATGCAGTTTGCAGTTTCAGTTTGCATCTACACTTTCCATCAATGTAAGGAACCACTCACCCACAGCAGTTCATGTCCCATGGTGAATAGACAGATTGATAGCACTATGGTACAGATGGCAAGAACATATGTGCGCTGTCGGTTACTGTAGTAATGAATGCCTCGAATACTTGAAGATTCATATTATATATGTTTGTGAAGTTTCACCAATTATTGTAAAAAAAATAAATATAACAGCTTATAGCGTATTACTCTTCCAATGGATATTAATTTATAACCATTTAGCCATACATTATAAAGTCTTTTTTTCTGAATTAAGCGATTTAAGGACTAATAAATTAAGCATTTCTTTATCTTTTGTGTTGCACAATTGTTTTACTTATGCAATTCCCTGCAAACATATTCACACCCTTCCGATGATATCTATCTATCCATCCATCCATTTTCTAACCTAAAAATTCTAAAGTTTTTTCCAATTCAGAGTTGTGGGGGAGCAGGAGCCTGTCCCGGAAAACAATGGTTGCAAGATAAGGTACACCCTGGACAGGATGCCAGTCCATTGCAGGGCACACACTTACACCTAGAAACAGCTTTCCCCAGAACCCAATTAAATTAACTTAGCAGTATATTTTGGATTGTTGGAGGAAACCCACGAGATCCAGCACCCCAGGCCTGGTATTGAACCAAAGGCCTTAGCACTCCAAGGCACCAATACTTACCACTGTGCCAAAGTGTTGTCCTAATGTTTCTGAATTATAGATGATGCATGCACAAGAATATTGTAAACAAAACTGAATGCTCAAACTGAACACTTTTATGGTTGAAAGAACTTAAAATGTCAGCAAAAACTTCAAAGATGCTGACTGCATTGGGGTCCTGAGGTGTGTTGAACTATAATCTGCTCTCTGGTGACGATTCGTTCATTTCCAGAACAAAGAAGCAGGCAGGAATAACTAGAACTCCTAGTTATGTGTGCAACATCTTAATGATGTCTACTACTGTCTGTGTATGGTATATTTAGAATATTTTTGCAGCACCAAGTACACCAGAATCAATTCCTTTTACACTAAATGTACATTTAGAATAAAGATTCAGAGTATGTATTGAAGTATTCACCTGGGAGTTCAAGCGCATTTTACTGCAATTACAGCTGCCGGTTCTGTTGGTTAAGCACCAACATCGCAGACTTAGAAGGTGCAAATTTAATCAATTCGTCATTGAAAACTTGCTCAAGCTCTGTGAAGTTGGTAGGAATTGTTGATGGACAGCAATTTTTTCAAGTCTTGACGCATGTATTCCATCATATTCAAGTGAATTTGCATCCCAGTTTTAGGTCATAAACATAGTGAAACAGTTTTTCGTCTAAGATTTTCCTGTACTTTGCTGATCCCTCTTTCCCCCTCAGACTTGGCAAACTTCCCAGTCCCTGTGGATGAGAAGCAGACCCATAACATAATGCTGCCATGACCACCACTTGATGTAGGGACTGTGCAAGCAGTGTGATGTGCTGTTAGGTTTGTGCCACATGTCAAGTTTTACAATTATACCAGAAATATCCAACTTGGCTTCATTTTTCTTGACCACAAAACCTTTTGCCACATGTATACAGTAACACTTAAATGAACAGTGTTCTACAGTGACACCTGAAGAAGGCTCCACGGCCGAAACGTTGTGTTCTCTTTCTTCTTTTTTTCAGCATGGAATAAACCTATTACTTGTTCCTTTGCAGCCTACGCATGCTGACGCAGCTACCCACCTGAACCGTAACACTTAAATGCTTTGTTGTAAAATCAATGCATGGTTTCACACCTTTTGCTTAGCTCAGTCACTGAATGCCTTAACTTCTTTAAAAGTGGCCTCACAGTGGCCACCCTCACTAGTAAAAGTTTGTGGTGTCTCAATCTGGAGAAACAGCATGATCTAAGACACTGTGATACTACACACACTTTTTAATGATTATCTTTACTATACTGAAATAAATATTCAAGGTCTTTGAAGGTTTTGTTTACATTGCACTTGATCCCTTTCTACACTTTATGGCCAAGCTGTCTGAGCATTTACTGACTGAGGTATCTTACAGAGACAGGTTCATTTATTCTGAAATCATGTGAACTGTCAAGACTGCATGGACAGTCTATTCACTTTTCAAAATAATTCTGTGTAGCTGAAATGACTCAGGTTTTCCTACAACAAAGTGAAGATGTATCTAATCAAAAGATTCCAGTTCTTAATTGTTGTTTTTACTGACTTTTCACAGATAAAAGCATTCAATTTATGTTCTGTGAGCATTCAAGTTCTAATTAAAAAAGATTCACTTTTTAAAATATATAGTTTGTAATTCATTGAAAGAGGTGAATGCTTTTGCAAGGCACTGTATATGCAATTACTCAATTTATAGTGGCAGCTTGCACTTGTCTGAAGTAGATGAATGACCATGAACATAGTGGAGTGTACTCTGCAATTTATCCATTTGAGGGTTTTATTCTTCTATGTTGGTATTCTTGAAGGGTAGCAGCCCCGTTCTTTTTTTACTGACTTGTATGAAAACAGGCAAATGATACGTACCTCTTGAAAACTTCCATCATTGTTGCTGGTTTCAGTGACATGTTGAAGCTGGTGTCTGCAATAGGTTGTAAAAAATAAGGATTAAACCTTATAATAAGCCACATATTCGGTGCACAATGTGCTTAGCCCTTTCACATTATAGCAAAGGGGTAATGTGCAATTACAGAGGGACTGTGGGGGGAGTAGATTTATAGGTTCTGAAGTAGCCATGTGGGTTTCTGTAGGAGTGATGTGTAATTACTATGTAAGGGTTGATGTCTTTTATGTAATGTTCTATTTAATTTTAATGTAATGTTTATTTGTACTGTTCTTCTACATTTCTCTGTGTGTAAAACATCTGTTGGGATGCAAAACATATTTCTGGAAAATCAGACAATAATGTATTGTACTGCATCGTATAATGGCTAAAAAAACATCTAATTCTTATGAAATTCATGCAATTTGTTGATGAACAAATGAAGAGTTCTCCATTAAAATGTGTAGTTTTCCCCTTCATATAACATATAAGCATCTCACACTAACACAAAAGTCAGTCAACATACTACAGTTTCATCTATCCACCTGGTATCGTACAAAACACAATCACAAATCTAAAACAGAATAACAGTTGGGTGTGAAACAAATTCTGCAGTTGACAACCTGGTTAAAAGGATGAAAGATTGCTATTACAATTACATGTTATGATATCCAAGAAAGGTGTTGATCCTAGTATTTACAAAACAGTAAACAAACCTGTAAGATTTAAATTTTACTGATTTTATAAGTAATTTATCATGAAGATGATCAATATCCGACACTATATAGTATATATGCTATATACTGTATACGCTATATAATGACCCCTGCAGCTTTCAGGATACTTGTGATTTTCTTCTCCAGTCGGCGCTAAATCCTTTGTACAGAGATGTGAAAAACACACAATTGGCTATTCTAGATTCCTGTTATTGTGTATAACAAAGAGATGGAAACCGTAAACTTAGGTAAAAATGTAAAAATACATCAAATATCTGACAGGTTTCGTCATTTTGCTTTTCCATTTCTTAACTTGGTTTTTAAAATGTATAATATTTATTTTGTTCTAATTCACTGGTTAAAATGCCACACAATGCACTTTATTAGCTCATTTGATCTGCAATTCCATAAGCAGCATCTACTGTATCTGAACTAGGGCTATTTCCATCACCTCATAGGATCAATGTTTGGATTCTGAAATTTAAACCCTGTTATGCCAAGTGTAATTATGTAATTTTACAATGACTGAATTCTTTGTACGTAAGGACTTTGTTCTTTGGTTGTTTTTACTATCTGAAGGCAATTCTAACTAGGACAGAGTCTATTAAATGCAAGCAGCATACAGTATGTGAAATGTAACATTAAAAGCACTACATAAAATAAGGGCCATTACAAACATTATTAGTTTCTTTTTCAGTACTGGCAAGCTAAGTAGAACATTTTTTGTAGTCAATGTACGGTCACCATATTTTTTAATTACTCTATTCCACAGAGTGAGAGAGTTCATAGTCTATGTCATGGCAAGATTGTCAAAAGTCAAAAGTATTGTTTTACAAACCAAGTTTTAACGATCCAGTCATTTACCATTTGTCACTGTGATGTTAGCGGAGTTTTTACAGTCTTGTAGCAGAGATCTTCACGTAAAAGCTGCCTCATCACTGAGGGAAATCACACAACGTCATACTGTACATGAATGATTTAAAGCAGTTCAGATTTTCCCTTCTATAGTTCATCTTTCACTTAAAGGGAAATTTCTCTAGAGGAAAACAAATGCTAACTGCGAACGTGTGATGAACATATTGAGAGAAAAAAGTATGACTTATTTTACCATGTCTGAATGCTTACAGTTGAATACTGAAGATGCTGCATTATACTTTGTTTATGAAAGGCTTTAAAAGGGTTTCCATACAAAGCTGTTTCCCATGTTCATTTGCAAAACTGTTTTAAAAACAAAAAACAGGTTTAAAATATGCAACTTTAGTCATACTGTATACACATTAAAGGGACTGGACAGGAAAATGAATTTCTAAAAAGGCAAAATAAGTAAAATGTGCTAAGTAACCTGAAGTGAAGAGTGGAAGATATTTGCTACAATCGTATGTGAATGAGTGAATATGGTATCCAGGACTTCAATAAGTAACCCTTCACACAATTCAGTGCAAACAATGATAAAAGGATGCTTGAGGTGGGTATCACAGTTTATACCATGTATATGTCAGACACAGCCAACACAAAACATGTCACAACTAATCCAAGAGGGTAGGGAATGAGTAATACTGATGCTCCCCAGTATTACAAGAACTTGCTACTGCCACTTAAAATACAATTTACTTTCAAACTATAATTCTGAAAAAGCTGTGTTTATCAATTGTACATAAATTATTATACCTGCCTCATTTCTTCTAGTGTTGGGACTGACATCCAAGTTACATGTCTTAGAATATCTGCACACCACCACTGACAAAACACTGGTCAGTCTGCATGAAAACTACACTGTCAGGAAACACTTTCCTTATAGACTTTATAGGTCTTCCAACATCACAGGTAGAAAACTCACATTTGCTAATGGCATGTCATTCTCAGTCACATTTCAGACAGGAAAATTGAGAGAATTAATTTTGTGGCACTTCAGTTGTGTGGCAGAGAATTTTATATGGTGGAAAATACCATGAGATTAATACATTTAAGAACCACAGTAAGGTACAGCATAATTAATTTCTAAAATAAATCAAGTGTGCCTTCAAAGCTACACATTTGAAGTTTTGATTTAGTTAAAAACATTTAAGATCTTCTGAGGCCAAGTATGTTTGCTCCTGTACATTATCCATCAATGCATAACTTGCAATATACTTTTTTTATAACTGTGAAGTGTCATTATGCCTCCCTCATTTGCTGACTCAGACAGTAGCCACATGCTGTATTTTTAACAGCAGGCTGATGAAATAGGAGTTCTAAGATGCAGGTTTAAAAATAAACGAAGCACACAAAGCCACATACTAAGGAATGTAGAAGTGTTTTAATAGGCAGAGCTACACACGGTAGGACATCATTTTATTTTTTAGTGCCCAGAACACAAATATTAGCAGGTAGATTTACTGCTTGGTGATATCCTAATCCTTCATTTGTAAAAAGTTAGGGTAAGGGTTTGAAAATTTCACTTCAGCTCAAAGTTATAAAGAAATAAAACAATTAATAAGCATATAATGAAAAATGTAAATTATCTTTGTAAACATTCTCATTAGCTTCAGCTAAGATATCTCATCAGACAGTACAAGGGCTCACCTTTCTTGGAGCTTTAAAATTAAATGCATATGGCCATTACAGCAGGCCTGCCACCTGCTTTGAACCCATCTGTTTCACCTTCGCAACTAGAGTCTGAATTAGATCCAAGTTAACAGATAATGAAGGTCATCCTTAAAGTCTTGCAACCACTCCAAACTTAGTGAGCTCCAACTAAAGCAACAGATCCAAAAAAGTGGTTATTTGCTCTGCTGTATCGGAGCAGAAGCCCCTAAAAAAAGAGGACCTGTATAGACCGATAATGGTATTACAATGGTATTAAAACACAAATGAACATGTGAAAACTATATCACTAAAATAAATGCAAAGTTATCAACTGTATGAATGAAGATTACTGAAAAATAATTAGGTAACATTTGATCAACCATACTGTTGTTATAACTGATAGTTTGAAATATTTCATCAACTAAAGGGATTTCTTCAAACATGTTCTTTTACATTTGTGGCCACCTCAAACTTTTAAAATACTCTGACTTGAAACAGTCAGTTCTCATCAGATCCCAAAGGTTGGAACTGGTGGTAATGACGGAGAATTTTTAAACAAATGCCTCAGTATGGTGACTTTCGATGCCGCACTGTAGGAGGTAGTGTCCTTTTGAAACGGTAAACTGAGCGCCTGACTGCCTTTTCATTTCAGATCCTGTGGCACTGCTCATAAAAATAGGGGTGCACATTACATCTTTATTGAAAACATTCCCTTTTATTATCCATATAAGTTGATAAATATGTGAACTAGTACTCATACAGTGTATGGAGTGTAGAAACTACAGACAGAATCTATCAAGACATTTACATTACAGGGGTATGTTTAATTTAAAATGTATCAGAACATAAATTAGTCATAGGTGAGCAGGAAAACATAACTATTGAAAGATATTTATTATTGCACGTTTTCTACTGAAGGCAACTTCCAACACCAGGTCCCCTTCAGTTTGGGCTGAATGGAAAAAGCACATTGAATTCTGGCAGAAATAACCAAGAGAAATAAATAATAAATCAGAGGGATATTTTCCATTCAAGATGGAAATAAATTTAAGTCTGAGGCCTTAACATACCCCTTTTGAGTAGAACATGGCTTAATTGAACTTACTATATTTGCATTATGCAGACTGCTGTGTTGTTTCATTCTCTTTAGAGTATGAAGTCAGTAATACACATTTTTTCATAAGGGGAAACAGTGATAAGTGATGTTCTAAATTTCAATATCCAATTGACTTCTATGAGTTCAGAGAGCTCACAGGGTGGTACAGATATTACATAAATCAATTCAGCCAATAGGCTCATAAATGCCTCAAGAAACAGTTATGAGGAGAACCTTCCCCCATGGGTTACAAAGAAATGCATTTTAGCTTTCATTTTATTTTTCATTTGCAATTGTGAAGGATTAAGAGTTACACAAGTATTGCTTGGAGAATATCTGATATAGAATCTTTCTTCAAAACTTCACAGCAAGCCGGGTCACTACTGAGAACTGCAAGTAACACTCTAACATCTGCACTGGCACTCACTTGAAAGTGCTGACTAAAGCAGAAGTGACATAATTACTGTACTACTGACGGTAGTGGCACTGCACAATATGTAGTGTTAAAGGTATTTGCAAAATGAGACACTGGACAAGGCGACAAATGAGGAAATGGAGAATATTTTTCTTTGGGGAAGGTGGTTAGTGATAAGACTGTTATAAGTATGATGAAGTTCTTCTGCTCATATACAAAAAGGAATACAACTAATGTGAAACAAAGGAAACAAGAAATCATACCAGCAATAATAAGAACAGAATGGCACAAGAGCTAGACATTTACCCGTCTTAAACTTAGGAATTCAAATATGAAAGCATAAAAAAGAGGGAATACAACTCAAAACTCCAAAGTAACTGTAGAAAAAGAGATGGAGAAGCAAACAGATGCAGTTGACAACTGAAACCGTGTCACTTTGTAACAGAGTGACTGGTCTACATATCTAAAATGACAAATTAAAGTATCCCCACCCTCACTTGCAATCCTAGTTGACCTGCAAAGAATCAGATTTTTTCATGTTAAGACAGAAATTCCAGCTTAACAACTTTTAAACTGACAGCCCACAGGTAAATGTGACAAGAAAGCAAATATACATACTTCGAGATGATCAAATTGTTTCAGTGAAGACTTGTTCTTGCTGGAGTGGGAAGGGGGAAGGTTATGGTCAAGGGAACAAGTATTTTTAAACAAAAATGAGAGTATGTGCCTTCAAGTATAAAAAGTGATTATCATTATTCAGTTACATAGGATAATTATATACAGAGTTACAACTATGGGATTTAAGGCCCTACTCCCCTGAGACACTGCTGTAATTGCTGCAATGTGAGGCACACTGCAATGAATATAGAATATGGTACAGCTGACTATAACTAAACATTTAAGGTTTTCAGCACATTACAATTTATTAATATTGTATAAAAGTAAACAATTATTTTGGCACCAATAATAAGATACTAATTAATATTACATGGAACCATGGATATTTTCAGTTTCCACTCTAAATCCAATACATTAGATTAATTAACATACATATTTCATTGTGAATGTAAGAACACAACAAAGTCTGAAAACAAGAGGAAACCATTTGGCCCATCTAGCTTGCACGTTTTTAATTGATCCTGGGATCTCATCCAACTGTGTCTTGAATTAAGCCATGGTACTGGCTTGGAAAATAATGCTATGGCTAGGTATAATTTGCAGACCTCCACAACACTTTGTGTAAATGAGTGCCTCCTGTTGTTCACTGTAAATGCACTAACCTTTAAAAGAACATCATAAAATTTATTTCAGTGAGATTTCATACTAATTTATGCCACTCTTGCAGGAAACTGAAACTATTTGTGTTGCAAATAGGCATTATTAATTGGAAAAAGTCCATTCAAATTAACTAAAGACTTTTGATTAAGGATATTCATTTTCAGTTGGTACCTTTTTTTCTTTATTACTGGCTAAAACATTATGCAACAACTAGAGCTGGTAATTTAATTTCAGTCAACCATCTACCGCAAGAAATTTATTTTCCACATCCCCCTCAAATCTGAGTACAATTATTCATTTATTCTTTGCTTACAACTCTGCTCCATGTCTACTGCCTGCAATCCAGGAGGCAAATGGAAACATGTAAGGTACCCATTAGCTAATGTCATCCACAGTTTAACTGGTTTTAGTGGAAAAGTTCTTTAAAGTGAAATATATGTCAAGCACCCTGTGAGAAACCTCTATTTTCTTATTAAGGATAATTAAAAAAACTATTAACAATTTAAAGTTAGCAAAAAAATCGAGAAACAATCGAATATCAGTTTTAACTCAGGTTTTACCATTACCTGCCTGAAAGCATTTCTTGAATACTTCTTGTCATTGAATACCTTGGCACACAAGCCATAACTACCCAAACACACTTTGTCCTCAATAAGAAACGGTATACCTGCTCTGGCTTCACTGAGCTAAGTATCTGTTCCCAGAGAATAAATGGTCTTTATGCATTTCTAAATTAAAGAGCTGCACAGCAGTCACCCACAAAAGCCACAATTTTACAAATAATAATACTAATATACTGCTCTATCATGTACAAAAAAACTGTAGTTCTCATTTGTGATTAATGACATTACATACTTTACATACATTTAACATAAAACATTGCATGCATACTTACCTTCCAGACATTTAAAGTGTTTTAAATAGCTTTAGTTTTTATAAACCTCTTAAGCTATTACTGTTGTGCATGCATATGATCTAGTGAGGCTGTTTCAATGTCCAAATCGTCATTGCATTAACATTTTCTTTATTGTACAGCATTAAAAAGGCCTCCTAAATTGTGCAGATGTGCGGTATTGAAATTACGAAAAGATACACTGGTAAAATCTCCAAGGTAGTTTGTTCTTTTTCCATGGCAAAACGATATGAGTAAATCACTAATCGGCATACCTTTAAAAATACATTACTCTTACCATGATTTTATTTTCCAGAAGCAGTTCTAGAACTGCGGTGCCTCCTCCTTCCAACCTCGAAGGTGAGCACACTAGAAGACAAAGGAGTCGGCAGCGTATTTTTACAAAAAATAATTTCCATAAGTCTCATACACTAGCTTTCCCAGCACACTCGAGGAGCCTTGGTCTTAAGTCTTTTGATGTGGGTTTAAATGTGCAGTATACGTGATTGGTCAAAACCGAGGCAATGCATGACTTCATCGGTCTTTGTGTCTAAATTTAGGACAAAGCAATCCCTGCAGTAAGGTACTATCTGTACAAAGTAAAAACCTTATTTATATATATATATGGGAAAGCTGGAAAACCGTCGGATATACATATCGTACATTATAAAAAAACAGAAAACCGAAGAATAATAACAATTTTGTACTAAGCATAATACTGAACCGGTCGTTTGAGGACACCGTTCATAACAGAAGCCAAGTACAGTAAGCGGTAATATTAATAAAACATTCAAATTACTAGCGTTGTGGGTGATTGGTATATATATATACTTTTTACGAATATAAGATTAGAACTGTTTTTTTAAGTAAAGCTTTACACAAATGTTTATAGGTTTAAATACTAATGTTAACAATTATCATTTTAATAAATTATCGCATTTAAAAGAAAAGCATGCTTAAAAACACATTTAAACAGTATCCTAAAACCAAGACTACAGACATCCTCGCAGCACTAAAAGAACAAAGAGTCCTTGCTCCATTTTATTAGCCCTTGTGGTGACTTTTGCAAAGTATTCCCTCTGCAAGAAGTCATTCACTTGAAAAACTAGGGTTCCCAAAATGAAATGGAACTAGGTGACAGATTCAACCTAGATTTCGCAGGAACTGAAAAAAAGATGACAAAGAAATTTCACTTCGAGAACAAAAACTGAAATACCGTCTGCAACCACAGTTGTGAAAAACAGCAGCAAAAACAATAATTACGCGTAACACTCTTGTGTTTCTAATCATTAATACTTACAGACAAAAGCCCTCGCTCCCTTCCACTTGCTTTACCTCTACATATGCAATGCAAACGCGGAGAGAAGGGGGACAGACTGCTGTAATAAAAATCACTGCACTCCAAAAAGGAGTGCAGCCTTGGAAAAAGTCTCCCTCTCAAACACTGGGTTTTGGTAGACTGGCTATGTGCTGTATATTCTTAACAATGAGCTAATTCTGATGGTTGCTGGATCAAAGCCAAAACCTCCGCTTTTGCTGCTGCAGAGCCAGACTGCTTACTCTGCAATAATCAGCAATTCAAGGTCCCCCACTGTCTGGAAGGCCCCCTGAACCAATCAGGACAAAGACAGGCGCAGCAACCTTCCATGCTCGCAAAGATCCACCCGTTTCTGAATCCGGTTGGACAGAACTCTGTGTGTGTGATCCAATAAAGAGAAGAAGTGGCGGCTGTTTCAAGCTTCTATTGGCCAACTTTACAGACAGTCACTGGATCTTAAAGCAAGATTATTTGAGGCACAGACGTGAACTCCAGCCAAGGTGCTGCAGGATTTTGAACGCTCGCCAAAACTCCGTCAATGGAGTCACATACTGTACTCGTTACATAAAAGGGCGTTTGGGGAAAATGTAGATCATTATGTAGCACTTCACAGTGTAAATTTACCGAACTGAACTCCTTTCAGTACTTGAATAGGACATTTTAGTGATAAGGTATTTCGTATGAAAAACTAAAATTGATCATTTTCGTGATATTAAATACTATTGTCATTTGTAATATTACATGCTATTGACATTAGTCTGAAGTTAATTAGATATTTGTTGTTGTTTGAGAAATACATTTTACAAATTTGGAGTTGGTAGTTGGTAAGGTCTGAAAGAATATATTTTAGAAGTCAATAACAGAAAAAATCCTAAAGTATGTAGTACCATGGTGTAGAAATGCCTTCTTTTGCAGTTATTTAAACAGGAATATATGAGACAAGAAAATGCCAAATTGGTAAAAACACAAGTGGACACCGGGAGAACATGCTACAGTAGCTGTGTGCTGTGTGATTCATTCTATACTGTACATTAAATTAATCCTCTTTACCTAAAAAGACGTGGAAAGTTATGAAAATTGCCAAATGACAGTCTGATTTTACTGATGATGTTAACATGTTACACACAATTAATTAGAAATTTTAACCCAAAAACTAACACCAAGGGCAAAATGCAAGAGAATATTTTAGAGATTTTGTTTTGGTGCAGCACTATTTCTGTCTGTTGAGACTGAATGTTACTGTATATTCTATGAAGATAATAACCACAAAGACATTTCCATCTAATGCTGGAATGTGAGTTACTTTTTAAACTAGTTGTACTGTATGTGCGATGGAACTGCAAAAATTAAAAGAGTAATCTCTATTAAAAAATGAATCCATTTTGAACAGATAAAACTGGAAGTGCTTTGAGAATTTTGCATGCAACAGTAAACTTACAGTACAAAGAATCACATGCTATATTATATAATAGAAACCTAATCTAAGGATGAAACCGTAATTTATTCTTTAAGAACAGTGATAATGCTTCATTTTAAATTAAATATGTCCAAATGTTTAGCTCCAAACTATATGTGGTAATTCTTTTTTTTTTAACCAAATCACTCAACCAATTTGAAATTCTGAAGCTGGATGTTTTCTATCAATGGCTGCAGTGTTACCACCCTGTAGCCTGATTTAATCAGACATCATAATATAAGTAAGGCTGGGCCTGGTTTGTATTAGGATAGGAGATCTCTAAGGTAGTGCATCCCAAGCTGTGTACTTGTAACAGCAGAGATGTTAAATCCAGTTCTGGCTAAATCCCACTTTGGGCTTGTTCAGTTTGGCCTCCCAAAAGCTCCCCTTAATTTAAATGTTGACACATTCTTTGCTTCTCCTTCTGATCTGCTATGTAGTGGGTACTAATAACGGCACCCAGGGGAATATCTGCTTTTCAGTGGTGGATGGGGTGAGATTCCCTCCTATATACAGTATAAAGCTTTTTTAAATGTAGATGAAATGTGCTATATGCTGTAAATGCAAATAATTATCTTATACCTTTATTAATGCACAAGAAGTGGTAAAAGAGCAAGGATACCTTTACAAGAAACAAGTCTGAATTTCTTCTCCTACTGTATGTATATCTGAATATACCAATACATTTTCTTACTTATGAAAGTAATACGTTTACTTATGGAAAATGTATACTTTATCAGCATCAGATGAAAACTTTGAAACAATCAAGAATTTATTAATTTGTAGCACAGGTATATTTGTATGTAGTCTAAAAATCTAAAATACCTCACCCTGTTGCTTAAAGTGGTGGTTACGTTTCTCAGTAACAATAATAATTTTCATTTACACAATACATTACGTGCAAATGTACAGTTTTACATTTAACATTTACATTTTACATTTCTTGAGGTGCTCTGATATCACAAATCTGATGCAACTGAACCAGTTTCAATTAGAATGTCAATGTCAAATAAAAATATTTATTCTCCTACTAAAATAATGAAAAAAATGAATGGTACATATACTGTAGATGTGAAAAGCTGTTGAAGAAATAATGGGATCTACTGTAATTCATTTTCTGCTGTGGGAAAAATATGATCTATTTACATTTAAAAAAGTTTATCGTGATGATCTCAAATAATCCAAAAGAGATGAAAATCACTACAATGGCAGTTGTTCACCACAGTGTGTTGTATATATTTAATAATATATAATAAGGTTCTAGTCCAAAAAGTGGCTATTTTGATTTTCTTTTCCAGAACTGAAAAAGACAGTGCTCTCAGAATGCTGTTGTGTTTGGATTTTTGAAAATACAATTTTAGTTTCAGTTTTTTTACTCTTTCTTACTCTATGTTTTTCTTAGAATATAATACAATAGTTAGGTAATGTATGATGTATATCCTGTTTGTCACAACCTGAGGCTAAAGCAGTTCCCTGTGTATGACAACATCTTGACAGCTCCACCTGTGCCAGAGGTACAAAATGAATTGAAGGAGCAGACTGAGAGCTTTATTAATACAATAAGAGGAAAATAAATCATTTTAAGTAAATAAGGACTTAAAGAACATATCAATGTTTGAGCTGAACAAAGGGAATTTCCCTTCCTCAGTAACAAAACATTTTAATCAGAGGGATTAGATATGTCTCAGTTAAGTGCTTGAGAGGCTGAGTAGGTCTCTGAGATGTTTGTGCAGTGAAGTCACTCAGCAACCTGGTTTCTTTTAGTCTGCTTTTCAGTACTGTTGGAAGCTCACACATCTGTGTATACCAGACTCCCTCTGAAAGAATTCATAATGCTGTCTAGAGAGGTGATTTGCTTCCGCGTGGATGGGGAATTGCTGTTCACAGACAAAACAAACTAGCAATGCTGTGCATACAGTGGTCCTTAGAACAAATTAAACAGTACCTTCTAGGGGAAAATGTTAAAGCACAGAGAACTGAGCCATTGTTGCCAAGAATGAATACATTTTATTTGCAATTCCTTTATGTCCTTATAACACAATATAGTCATTGACATACTGTATTTCACTGTTTAGAAACACTAAGCAAAATTTTGATTGTTGAAAATCTGCATTCATTAGAGTATACAGAAAATTCCTAGCTTTCAGTGTTTATTTTATTATTAGGATTTGTTTAGTAGTAATACCTGATGAAGCAGAATTATCATGCCATAGCACAAAAGGAAATATTTGTGTTTAACATATGGACAATGTGTAGGATATTGCTTTTGTTTTATATATATATTTAAAAATAAATTGTTTTTTTTTGCTAAAACAATACAAAGGGAGAAGCAGAAAAGTGGGAAGTGAGAAAAGTGCTGGGAATATTATTTGTGTATGGTTAGGTAATATGGTTTTGAAGTGTCATCAACAATAAGAAAATAGTGAAATAGAACAGGTTCAGCAATATGGTTGCTGGGAGAAGCAACACCTTTGTCAGAGCAGAAAGAATGACCCCTCCTTCCCCCCAGAAAACAACAACAAATGCCCATAAAAAACAATGATTACTATTTTAACATAATTACTTTAAATACAAATTTTGACTTGTTCTCAGGACACTTATTGGGAAAATGCACTGGATCATAATCTCATGTGGTCAAAAATGTGGCAATCGTCAGGACCATTTCATTTTTTAAATTAATCTATGACTGATTTTTGAATAAAAGTTTATACTTTTTTGGAGGAAAAAAAATGTTTTTTGTTTCTCAAATGTCCTCTGTAGTGTGACTGGAGTCAGAGGAACCAAGGCAGTATGCAGTAGCTGGGTCATCTAATGTCTGCAACTATGGATCCTGAATGAGTCAAGACAATGAAAACTGTAAGCAAAGGCTTTCATTAGTGGTGCTGCAAATGATCTCATTAACAGAACTATTTTGTGTTTTAGGAGGGAATCTTTAATTGCAACTAAACACCACCTGCTCCAATAAATGTGTCCAAAAGCCTGAAGGTCATTAGATAGTCAATTTAGACTGACTTAGCTATTAAAATGCTGGGATTTCTTGATTCCCCTCTGCAGACTGTGCAAATCAAAGCGTGCTGATGAACTACAGTATCACCCATATACTGTGTTCTCTAGCTAGGCTTCATTTTTTTTAATTCAGAAAATAAGTCTGCACCCATGCTATCATTTATATTTTTCTATTAATATCTGCCACAGAAAGCAACATCATGTATTCCGCTGGCTGTCCTACTACGGAAAATGCCAGTCTGTCTTGGCTAATGGTCCAGAGTAAGAAAACAATGATTATCCCTTACAGGAATCACTAACTCACTACTTTAAAATATCAGAAACAAATTAAAAATAATCGTATGTGTTTTGGATATGATTTAGAATTGTATTGTCTTATAAATTTGACCTGGTAAAGAAAGTGTTTTTTTTTTGTAAATGTGAAAAACATAATATGTAAGAAATCACCTTCCTTGCTTTCCCTTAAGAAATTCCATTTAAAATTCATCATGTGAATAAATAATTATTTTAAAATAAATATGACAAATGTACCTGAAAAACAAAATTCTATATACAGTACTTGTACAGTAGCTATTCTGTTGCAGGACATGCTTACAATTTTCTAACTTTGTAAATTGGTTGATGTATCCATGAGTGCTAATCTAATATTCCTATTTAAGCAACAAAATGTTCTTAAATATACTATAAGAAGTGATAACTGAGAAAATGGTAGTTAATCTGAGAAAAACAAAGCAATGAAATTTAGACAGTACTGAAGTTGGACAAGAGACTAACATTACTGTGATTGGGTGCTTGTCCTGGACTAAT